AAATATTAGAGAGACATGGTAAAAGAGAAAAGATGACTAAATATATATGTATCTATAAATATAAATATATGTACACTAGTGATTAAATAAGAAAAGAAAATCTTGAAAAGAAATATGACGGGAGGGTAGATGGGATATTGCACAGGAATGAGCAGCAAGAAAATTACAGTATTGCACTTTAAATATAAATATCAATGACAATAAAGTGAATAAAGAGTTAGTTTTGCGAGATCTCGCAAAAGTCCGTCTTTTTTTTTCTTCTCCCATGTCCCCTGCGGGGCTCCGTAGGTTAGCCTTTCTTTCACAGCCAGCTGAAACAAACAACAAACAAACAAATGCAATGCTAATTTAAGAACAAAATGAACTTACCGTCAAAGCATGGAAAGCCTTAGCTAGTTAAACCTAGTAGCTATTTTCTGTGGCGGAGTTACAAAAGTGCATCCAATTTAATTGTAGTAATATGTAGTAGGTAAGAACAGGCTGTTCCCAAACACCTACTTTGCAGCAAAAGATAAAAAAAGAATAAAAAAGTTAATATTAAGCTACATGGATATCTCCCAAGTGAGGCGAAGATGGAATTGATCCCAGTGTGGCATCTAAGTCCTCCTCTTAACTCCTCCTCCTTCTTCTTCGTGATTTTCCGTAACTGCATATTTTCCGCCACCTACTGTGCAGTCTGAAAATATCTGGACTGTCACCCACTGTAAATCATTCGCCTCTGCCTGTCTGAGCAATGTATTTCAAATATAACAACCCTATAGTAACTGAACTGCAAATTTACAGATTTTATTTGAGTGGTTCTTTTGCGACCTCCTGGTTGACCCGTTCATGCATTTATGCAGTATTTTTGGTAAGTTTTCCCCTTTTGTGAATAATACCTTGTTAATAATTATTAACAACAAAAATGAAAATACTTATCCTGGAACCTGTGGATATCACTGATTAGTGGGCTTCCTGTATTTGGCTGATTTTTATAGCTGCTTCCACTTTGGCTTCTTCTGCCTTCCTTGACATAATCAATGAGCGAGTTTCACTCTAATTAAAAACCAGCCGGTATATCTTTTTTTTACTTTTATACACATCAGAATCAGAGAGACTTTATAATTACAAAGGGAACTTAACTTATTAATAAATTCCCTTTATGATTCCAGGTTTTCATGAGAAAAAAAAATCTGTGCTTCCCTATGAACTTGAGTGACATCCCGTTCTTAATCCATGGAGTTTAATGTGATTTTGGCACACCCTTTTCCCACAAGGTTTAAGAGTGTGTTTATGGGACTTTATGACCATTCTTCCAGAAACACATCTGTGAGGGCAGACAGGGATTTTGGATTTTGGCTCTAGTTGTTGACTGGAACACCTGGATTCAATTATTTAAATATAAATCAATAGTATATCATAGTATTTCCAAGGGACCTCTGACATTTTACACATCTTAATCAAATTTGTTCCACTGTTTCACGTTCAGAATTATTTTAAGATTTGTACTCATTTTAATGTATGTTTAATGAATGTTGGAGTTATTACAATTACAAAAAACTAATGCTGAATAAGCATTTCACTCAGTTCTTCTTTCAAAGACACTTGTGATGCCTGTCCTTAATGAACATGCTTTTAGATTTATGTTCTAAGAATTCACTTGAGTTTCCACAAAGGGATGCATGGGATTGTGGCATTGCCCTCATTACTTTGACCTCCTTTGTTGGTCCAATAACAGACAACTGAGGTGAAGTGTAAAGGTCATGTTTGTATACACATGTTAAGAGGGCATCACTGTATAATATTGTACTGTACATTTTGTCCCATCTTCATCTTTCTTTTAAAGTAAGGGAATTGCTTGCTTTTATCCTCCTCTTTGCTTGTGCAGCTTTGTTTATGAGTCTTGACATGACAGTCCTCATTCCCTGCAGGACCCCAGCCCCTGCTGACTTTGTCTTGTTGGAGGATGAGTTGTCTAAACAGAAACCAGTTGCTCAGTGAATTCAGATAGCAAGTGTGAGGCGGCAAACATTTGGCCATTACCCTTTCTGAGCTCATATGTTTGGCCTGTCATTGTTCCTTTCCAGCCCCTTTAGTCACGGCCGGGTTGATGCTTTCCTGTGTCCTCATCAGACACTGGGTTAATCACACCCCTGGGGAAGTTCCTATCTCCCATCTCTGACTGTCTAAATGATGTGGCATAGCCTTCACTGTCATTCTGGCTGTACTTATCCAAGTGTAATCACTTTATTATTATCTTTGGTGTTGCCAGTCACAGCCAGTGTGTGTGTCTTGGCACGTAGAACCATTATTTATGCTTTTGTGTTTTGTCCTAACGATATGTTTGCCGTATTTGTTTATGGGATGAAGTTAGGTTTGCATCCCAGCGACCAATCATTATGCATTTGGCAGAATTCACATTCAACAGTAATGGTCAGTGAGAAGTTTATAAAGCAGAAGTTTTGAGACGGCTGCAACATCTAGGCAAAGAGAGCATATAATGTGTGTCTGTGCCTCAAGCTTACTGTCCCCAAATATGTCCAAAGGTATGTGGATCAGTGTCTATTTTAGAAGCATCCATGGGAATTGAATTAGGCCATGAGGTTACTGGATTTCCCCCATTGGGTAAAAACAGCTCACGTGAACAATAAAAGGAGGAAAATAAAGGAATGTGAATAAGATAACACCATCACAGTTTCTCGCCGCAATAAGTGGTGGTAAAAATCCTTGGTCAAACAGTGCACGTACAAAATTCTCAGGTGTTCTGTGTTCGTATACAAGCAAGTAACTATGATCATGCGTTATAGATGTATGCTGTCAAAAAGAATCTGCTTTTCAGTATATACTTTAGTGTTTCTAAATGTTTCTAGCTGAGCTGTTTACTTTTGCCACCAGTTGTAAATTACACACAAATCCATGTATTGATCTGCTCTGATATATTTTGCTTTTACGTTTATTCTTCTCTTCTCCGAGGTTCTCACGTAACTATAATAAAGGTGATACTCATAATGATGCTGCCTCAGATTTAGGAGAATCGAAGGCAGCAAACAGCCTCACTGTCAGATGAGTGCAGAAGCAGCGTGTGGGCATAGCGGGGGTTGTGTAGAGGAGGTGGGGTCTGTCCCGTGTGTCAGCAGCCCGATGGATAGAACAGGGGCATAGCAGAGTGAGTATGAAAGGACACGCCGTGCAATGCAGACAGAGACTGCAGACATGCAGCAGCACAGAGCGGCATATATGTTTAAAGAGGCTGCAGCAAAGAGGGCTATAGATGAGGTAAGGAAGCTAAAAAAAGGAATGGCTGCCACACAGAGTTGCGTGGTCTAATGTCTCTTTTTTTAATGCTCTTGTTTAAGTGGGTTTTTGCATTTTAATGTTTGTACTGTGTGCACGTCACAAGAGTTTATAGTCTAGCAGTGGGTTTCAGCGCACCGCGTTCATATTCATCACACTGCCGTTATTTTCACCAACAATTTTTGATTTTCGCTGTGACCCACATGCAGCAGTTTAACTTTATTTATGTTAGAGATGTCCAAACGACAAGCAATATTTGAAGGCAGTTGGCATTACTTGTTTTTCCCACGTGTGATTGTTTTCTCCAGGTGTGTTAAGAATGACATCTTTGGAAACCTGATATTAGGGATTACTCAAACATGTGACTGCACAACAACTCCAAGTGACTCTGAGGTCAAGTTTGCCGACCCTCAACATGGTCTCTCTGTGGAATATTTATTTTCTCTTGCCTCTCTCTTTGCCTCACTCGCTTCGTGCCATAGCGTTAACTGGAGAAAATGTGAAAGAAACACAACAGCCAGACAGTGACAAGGCAGGGCAGTTTCTGAAACAGCTCTCGAGTAGACCTCATGTACCCGGTTTAGCACCAAGTGACCCCATGATTGCATCCGAGGATGATGACTTCCTGGGTTCCCCTTTAAGTTGGTCCTTATCATCATCTGAGGACACAGACAGACAAGGTGTGATTGGTGAATACGGCGATTTACTGGAGAGCGCTGAGACATCTCTTTTATTTCCTAATGAGAAGGGACCCATACCCAGACCCACAAAGGGTGCTACAGTAGATACTGCCTCCACAGAGAGAATGCAAACAATGAAGTCCTCATCAGCAAGTGTACCACCCAAGCTTACCCATGAACAAACATTAAAGAATCAGCCAGCTGAGACCAACACCGCATCAGTTTTGTATCCTAGAGAGTCTGAAGAGAATCAGCCAACATTCCCAGGTTTTCAAAATCAGATGACTGATACTCACTTACCCTTTCTTCTCCCTGGCTCACTCCCATCACGCACATCAGACCAGAACTCAACTTCATCACTGCCCACTGGACCGGGGCCAGACACTCTTGGATGGACCACAGGCATTTCTGTTACCACAAAGGGAAACAGAGATGGATTCATTGATATTACAGATCTTATTTTACAGAGAGAAACTGCCAGCATGGAGGCAAAAGAAGGTAAGAGTCCTTTAATTATTTACAGCATCCCTACTTTAAATCTAAAGCTGAAACTATGCCCTACGGTGCATTTCAGTTTCCTTGCATAACCTCCAAAAACTCAGAATCCACGTGTCACTGCAGTGCTTATGATATGTATTCTGCTGGCAAACACAGTTTTTTACATTCACAGAATGGATTGCATCCCTTTCTTCAAATGTCTCTCTCTCTAACTCAGTTCTCTGCCCTTGACTTTCTCATTCAAGCCTTTAAGCACCGATTCTCCAGTTCAAACTTACACTCTCCTGTTAAAGTAAAACATTTTATTCACATTGCAGTCAGCCCGCACTCAAAGGTTACTGGATAATGCAGCACGCACATTATTTACTGTACACACACACACATACTGACATTTACTTGTCAAAGTAAATGTTGTGTCCACAAGCATATGAGGAGGACTTGAATGAAATTAATAAGGAATTTGCTTCCTCCTGTGTATGCATTTAACACCACATATTTTCAGTGTAACAACAAGTTTATTGAATAACTGCATCAAGATGGAGTATATATTAAATGTACTCTCATTTTTATTAGATTTCATAGACAGCAGAGCGAAAGCCCCGCACTTATAAGTGCTCTCTGTTTGCTGCGTCTATACTGATGTAATTGCTTCACTACTAATGGAGGACCAGAAATAGGACACATTCCATTTATAACCAGTAGGTTCCCTGATTCCCTGATTGCCCTATACAGCTTATTTTATATACAGAATAAGAATTTTTTTGTTTGTTACAAAATCGCTTCACTGATGCGAATTTACTTATAGCCACACAAAATGAGAGCAGGCATGAGGTCAATACTGGCTAATCAGCACACATACAGTATCTCTCTTCCTCACTTTCACACAAACACATATGCACACAACCTACTGCTCATGCTCCCACTCTGTCTGTGACCCAGTTAGATTCCCAGTTACAAGCCTGTTCTGTTTTATTATGGATTAGCTTCACACACACAGCAGATTACACCCTGCTCTCTTTTTAGAAAATGAAGATTGTGCGTAAAAATAAATTTGGCCTGTATCCAGAGGTTAGATTAGCACCAGTATGTTCATTTCTCGAGAAAAAAAATTCATTATTAAAGATAATATGACACATAACCACCACACAAAAAATAATAAAAATACACAGGTGTATTAGGTGTGAAGCAAAGCCATGCTTTGAGCTTAATGCTAACACTAGCATTCTAACATGCTCATGATGACATGGATAAAGTGCGGTTGACATTGACATTGACATTCATTCATTCATTCATTCATTCAGTATAAAACATGGATGTAGCTTACAGAGCATTAAACCTGCATTCTAATTAATGGCCACCAGAGGGCGGCCCTATAGAAGTCTATGGGAAAAACGACTCCTGACTTGACCTACTCCTGCTGAGTTCATAGGCTCAGTCACTCATTTAGAGACATATTAAATTTTTTAAAAACTAAGACATCTTTAATACTATGTTTTAAAAAACCATAGCGATGTCCATCTTTTACACTGTCTATGTATTACTATACCATCATATTTATGCAAGTTAGTATGTTTGCTCGTTTGCCAACGAAAAACTTTAAATTAAGTCTGTACTTAAATTTTCTACTTTTTGGTTTTCTTGTGACATAACCAATATGGTGTTCGTGTTTTTTTTATATTCTTTACAGATGACTCCAAGAATGATTCAAAAGCCAGAAGCCCAAGCCGGCTAGATGGTAACATGGACACAATTGCCACAACCTGCAAAACACCAAATCATTCCTGGACACCTACCTACCCAGAGGATTTTACTCACAACAAGCCTCTGCACCCCTTTCTGGCTCTCACCCCTTCGTTTTTGGTCCCTTTGTATTCAGACTGGAACTCTGCCCTGGCTACGTGGGGATTTGCATGGGAAGCACATATCTATGGCCTGGGCTCTGTCTTCACTATATTTGGCCTAATCTCTGTAGTCTGCCTGTTAGGGCTGCCCCTGAGGTGTCCCCCAGGAAGCCCCTACTTCACAATGCTGCACTTGTTCATTTTGGCATTTGCAGGGATCCAAGCTTTCTGTTTGCTTTACGATGCTTACAGTTACCAAGATCGCCTTTCCCCTGTCGTCTCTCTGCTGCTCTCCGAACTGCCATTGCCATGTTTGATCTCAGCATTTTCCCTGGCCTTCCTCCTTCTTTCCTTTCGTTCATGCAAGCATCTTTCACTTTCACCTGTTATTTCTGCCTCCTTCTCAGCCTTGCCAAAGCCTTGCTTGTTGCTATGTTTGGCCCTGTTACATTTTATTATCTCTTTGGGATGTTTTGGGATTTTTCAGCTCTTTCACAGCCTCCCGACTGTCATCCTGCTCTTTCCTCAGGGTGTGTTCGTATGTCTCACCACCTTTCTCTCATGCTCATACCTCTTCTTCTACTGCTTGACACAAGTCAACAGTAGAAACATTTACAGGTTAAATGACAATGGAGAGAGTGGAGGATCTCCTGAGGTGATGCGACCTGCAATTTGCCCCTTTGCTAGTGTGAAGGACTGGGGTAGGGCAGCAGGAGCTGGAGTAGGAACTTCTTTGTGTTTGTTAGGGTGTGGAGGTCTTCAGCTTTATGGGATCCTGCATGCCCTTGGTTTGGGTGGGGTTGATGGCCATGGATTTCAGCCTTGGCCATGGTGGGGCTACCAAGTAGGCTGCAGACTCTGTGAGATTGGGGTCTGCCTAGGTTTGTCTGTCATTGGCACACATCCTCTATTCTGTAGCAACTCTAACAAGACCATAGCACATCCTAGACCAGGATCTTGGTCCCGTCTATCCGGCGGCTCTCCTTCACGAATGCTCACCATAACCTCTCAGGATGGTGCAAATTCCCCCGTCCTTTCCCAGGGTAAGCAAGAAAAGCTGGTGGCCTGTGATGTTGTAGCCAAGGAGCAGTCAGAGGTTCTTCCTCTTTACTCAATTGTGGAGTCTCCTGGAAATATACCAGACTGTGATCACAAACCCAGCCAAAGCAAAACTGTACTACCTCTCCCCACGCCCCCAAACCCACCGCATAAACCTACAGCCTCACCTGAGGCTCGCCTGTCATCACTGGATCATTTAGGCCTCGAGACTGACTCAACTGTGGATCTGCGGCCTCCATCTCCCATAGACTTGTCGCGCAGCATCGACCAAGCTCTGTTCAGCGAATCCCTATTTTCTCATAGTATCTTTGGTTTCCCAAGACTCATACCTGCTTCCTCAAGCCTTTCCTTGAGCTCCCCAAGCCAAGGTACATCAAAGCAAGGGCCCAGTTCTGTGGGAAATACTCTTTACCGAACTTCTTCTTGTGGAGATGTAGATCAAGAGAACACCTTGTCCAACTCCAGGTATTCCCAACCTCAAGGCTGTATGACAGCTCGTAGAAATCAACCATTATCACCAGACCAATGTGATTGGAAAGGGAGTGTTACTGGTTCAACCCAGGGCCTTTGCAGCCATTCCAAAGAAACAGGAAAGCTGCGATCACATTCATGGGCCAACAGAGGGCAAAATTTTACTCAGAGCAGCCTCCCACGTGCAATCCCCCACCTGCCATACCACAGACGTTACCGAACCCTGAGCTTAGCTTCCCAGGACAGTCGGGGGTCTGGCCGATTGGCAGGAACTAAACACCTGAGTGAAAGCAAACAGCTGGAATGGGATATGGCTGTACAAGCAGAGTTTGTGAGTGTGTGCAAACAAATTGATGCACTGAGTGTTTGCAGTGACACCATTGAATTGTAGAAAGCTAAAAAACAAAATAAAACTGGGTGTAACTGGAATACAAATTATGTAAATTTAAGTCTATTTAGGTTAAATGGGGGAATTAAACCATAGTCTATATGTCAAAAACGTTATATAGACCTAAAATATGAGCCAATATCTTTTTGTAAATACTGTACTGTTGATATTGTATATTCAAACAAAAAAAAACGTTTATAAGACTGTCTTCGTTATGCTGTTTTCAGCAACCTATTTCTTTCTTGCAGTATTGCTTTATTTGAGCAACATTATAATTTTAGAATGTGTCCACTGAAATTATATGTAAAATCAAACATTTCTTAAAAAAAAAAAAAAAGGTAATATTTGTGGCAAAGAAGTTAGCCAAAACGGGAGTTAAATTTTTTTTTTGCTTTATTTTGTTTTAGTGAAAATCCAGGATTGTGTCGAGGAAATCTAGCAGCCATAGGACAAGCAAAAGTCACAAAAGTTAAAGTTTGCGTTGCTGATACGTTCTATGGTTTGTGAGACATACTTGAAAGGGCTTAACTTTCTCCGCTTCCCTTTCCTGATAGTGTGCTAAAAGAATTACTGTCTAAATATATAAACCATTTGAGGTTTCTTTGAATTTTGAGTGTAAAAGCATTCATAGGGACAAGCTGGTGTTTTTCGTTTGTTTGTTTCCTTGAGTTGTTTCTGGGTGTTTTCTTTTAACAGTGGAATATCTTTGAAGAATGAAAACAACATCATTACATTGCATGAATTTAAAGTGGTAGCAAAACAGTTTTTAAATAATAACAAACTGTTGTTTGAAAAATTATCTTTATTCAAATACATATACATCCACTATATGACACAAGTTACATTAAATGAAAGTTTGATTCCTAGGTTGACCAAAAAAAAGATGTTATTTATGGCATTATTTATAATTAAGATGTGTCAACTAGTAAGAAGTTTAATTAACTGGTGACAAATTGTTGGCAAAATTGAAAATTAATTGTTGATTTTTTTAAAAACTGAGTGATACATGTAATACGTGTCAAACCAAATATACTGAGTACCTCACAGAAAAAAGGAAAAATTAAATTAATTTAAAAGTGATATTTGTAAAGATCATTAGAAATAAATAAATCAAAAGTGGAATATTGGTTTTGTTCTACTGCAACACTAGAGAATCCATTACTGTATCTACCTTTTTTTGCTTTATTATTATTTTTTTTAATACTGAGCCTGGGAAATAAAGGCAAATAACCAACCATTCTATATGCTGCTGTGTTATTAATGATAACCTTTTGCAAAATAGCATTTTTGGAGAATACAGCATGTACTATAAAGCTAAGTGGAGCTTTGGTTGCATAGTGACAATAAAAATGAGAATGATGAAAGAAAACAGTGAATACTCTCCTTTAAATCAAGCAATAACATTAAAAAAAGAGTAAAGTTCCAGGTGAGAGTGTCAATTGCTTTTTGAAGGCACTCCCTATTTGGAGTGCTCGTTTATAAATTAAGGCTGATGCTTTTCTTGTCCCTTCTACGACAGAGCAGCACAGAGCTCACCGACACGCATCAGAGAAATGACTTGAGTGACAAAGCTGTGCACTAAAAACATTATGAGAATTTTACTCTTCTGTGTTTATTAGCACACTTCACTTGTTATGTTATATATATGAGAGAAAGAGAACTAAAAGTATGTGATTAAAGCTCTGTGCGCTGTTATTTACTTGATTTCCCGCAAAAAAAAAAGGGGTGGTGGGGTAGTTAATGTAGTAAATGAGCAAGGAAATATATGGCTGTACTCTTCTCTATCAAGCTCGGTAGATATATCATGACAAGTTTGTTGAAAGGGAACAACAGAATAGGTAATAACAGGATTCCCTCTACGCCTTGACCTGAGAGGGAGAACAACAGATTAAGAGTTTGTGACCATCCTCTAAAACTCTGTTCTTTGGCTCTATCCTTTTAGGCTCTTTGAACTTTAAGACAGTTGTTTTGGGGTCAGAGCTGGGACACCAATGAACAGAAGGTCACAGAATAGTTTTGTTTCAACTTTAGAGTGTAGAAGTCACAGGAGCTTCATGCGGTGCATTCTGATCACATGCGCCCGGTGCATCTGCTCATAGCTGCTGGGGTCGGGACGTTGGGTCCCGATCGGGTGTTTCCTCTTCCACCTGTTTCAGTAAAACCGCTTCTCATGACTACATGTGGAATAGAAAGAAAAGAGGGAAAGCATAAACTTTACAGTTAGAAAAATGAATGAAGATGATTTTTTTTTTTTTTAAAAAAGGAGAAGATGGAGGTAATGATTACTTACATGGCACAAAAGAATATCTAATATGATGGCATGAGTAATAAAGAGAAAAATATAAGAGAATTTTATACTGTTGAAGGTAAATTAATGGACACTTAACAATGAAGCATATCTAACAACAGCATGTTCACATACTGTCACTGGTATCAAAATGTTTAGACAACAGAAACAGGAAAAGAAAAAGACATACATGGAGAAAGAAGGGGTTGCAGCGGAGGGGTAAAGGTCAACTTAAGCAAACAGTCAAACGTCAGACTTACGAGTGAAGCCCATGGACGCCACCTTCCATCTGAGCCGACATGGTCCTCTTCTCAAACTTCAGTTCTCCAGAATACATCATTGACCTGGAGACAGATCACAGGAGGATACTTGGCGAAAGCCTTCACATAGAAAATCTCACACTAAATAGATGCACAGTTTGACACTTACCGTAAAATGGACAAACTTTTGGCTCCTATGTCCTGACAGCCATGTTGGATGCCAGCAATGAGGTAAGGAACAAACTTATGAATGGAGCCTTTGTCTTGTACTGACCCCGAAACACCTTGAGCTACCTTTACCTTATCTCCCTCACTGGGCACACAAACATAATTCACATGATTAACAAGGTAAGTTTCCCGGATTAAGTGTTTTCCAGTAAAAATCTCACCTAAAGTAGCGTTTCTGGCTGTTATTTTTCTCCATGGCATCTAAGGAGCCCATTCCTCTGTACTTTTTCAGACGCACACCGTCGGAAAAGAAATATTCTCCTGGAGCTTCAGTAGTTGCCGCCAGCAATGATCCCATCATTACTGAGGAAGGAAAAAGACTGAATTGTTCACTGGCTAATCCAAGTGGACACACAAATTTAATGCCCCCAGAAAATGAGAGAAAATTTCTTTCTTTTACCCGTAGATGCTCCCAGGGCAAGAGCTTTTACCACATGTCCAACAGTTTGAATGCCTCCATCAGCGATTACTGGCACTCCAAAACGTCTGGCATACTCCGCGACCTTGTACACTGATGTACCTTGGGGCCGTCCACATGCCATTACTGAGAAACAAGACCACAATGTGATGGTTGGGAGCAAAGTATCCTCAATACAGTGAAATTCATACATTTTTATGTCCCATGATTAAGTATGATCGTACCTTCCTGTGTGATACAGATAGAACCGCACCCCATTCCCACCCTCAGGGCATCCACACCGGCATCTATGAGGTTTTTGGCCTGAGCAGCTGTCACCACTAGAGAGAGACAGAGGCACGGGAAAGAGATTGAGGAGTCTGAGAAAGAAAGGCACAAATGTAGAAGATGAATTCAAGAAGACAGTCCCGAGTAAAGAAAGGGTGCTCACCATTTCCTCCAACCACTTGTAGTTCGGGATATTTATGCTTGATGTAGTTTATCGTGTTAATCTGATAGACTGAGTTTCCTTGAGAAGAGTCCTGTAATAATAATAATAATAAAACAAAATTATGGGAAAATGACTTAAGATCGGTCAAACACTCATACCCACTCTGTAGTTCCATTCTTCGTGATTAATATGAGACCAATGACTTAGCTGACTATATGTGATCCAATAAAAAATTAGAATCAAATAACAGATCAAACAAAAGTTTAATTACAATACAATCAAAACTTACCAGGACAACAACATCGACTCCAGCCTGCACGAGGAGGTCCAGTCTGTATTTGTCGTCCTCCCTGGTACCGATGGCGGCTCCACACAGCAGCTGTTTACGAGAGTCCTTGGAAGCCAGAGGATAATCCCTGTTCTTCTTCAAGTCAGTCCTAGCGATAATGGCGACGAGCTCATCGTTGTCATTAACTATGGGGAGCTTGCCTGGGAGAATGAGAAAGGAAAGGCCAAATATGCTACAGTCACAATTATGATTGCTACCTATACGGCAGAGTTACTCTTTGAAGTTTTACCTTTTTTGCTACGTTGCAGTATATCGTTAGCTTCTTTTAGTGTGACTCCAGCTGGTGCAACAACTAGATCTTCTCTTTTTGTCATTGCCTGCATCAGAAAATAAACTGTGACCACACACACACTCGTTTGATATTATAAATCTTACTTTGAGTACTCCGGGAGAGTAGAAAAGTGCTATATAAGAATCAGTCCATTTACCATTTACCAGATTATGTTCTCAAAAATATACAAATTCTTGCAGAATCGTCCACAACATTAAAACACTCACTTCTTCAAGCGGTTGGTCATGGTCCTTCTCAGAAAGAAAATCGATATCCCTGGAGGTAACTATGCCGACCAGCTTGCTGCCCATCTTGCCAGTCTCTGTAATCGGGATCCCAGAGAAACCATGGCGCAGCTTGGCCTCGAACACATCGCCTACTGTGTGACGGGGACTCATTACCACTGGATCTGTAATAAAGCCCTGCTCAAATTTCTAGCAAAAACAGAAACACGAATGTCGAGTGAGAATTAATTTCCATATCAGATGGCTGTTAGGGGCTTCATAGATCAAAAATGATTTCATCTATTTAATTAGAGCACATGTGTGCAGTGACTTTTTCTGTCTCACCTTCACTTTGCGCACCTCATTGGCCTGGAACTCAGCAGTGGAGTTATGATGAATTATTCCAATCCCTCCCATCAGCTGAATCCAACCAATTAGAGACAGGAGTAAGTAAGTGAAGAAAAGCATCATTTGAGCAGTACCTACTCAGCTATTAAGTATGATGTATATTACACTCTGCAGTGTTTGTACTCACTGCCATGGCGATGGCCATGGATGACTCCGTGACTGTATCCATAGGAGATGAAATGAGAGGCGTCTTCAGGGTAATCTTTCGTGTCAGGGCTGAAGTTAGATCCTTAAAAGTTCAATGCATTTGGAAACAAATTTATCACCTTATACTGCAACACTGAGGTCTACAACAAACATTTTAGCAAATTAAATCTGAAATAGTAAAGTATTTCTTAAGTGGATCATTTGCCCTGCAGTGAGCCAGTTTGGATGCATCAGAAGTGGAGTTGCTGAACTAACTGGCTGAGTGTTTAAAGGACCCAGGTGGCTTCCTCGAACACCTGCTATCCAGCAATAACCCATGTGATCTAGTCATGAAATTAATTTAATGTTCCAGCAGAGTTCAAAAAGATGAACACAGTGCAAGTCAAATAAACAACCCCGTGCTCATGTACCTTTAACTAAGCAACACGACAAAGAGTTAGGGATTGATTGCAGCAGCACCTTAATAACAGCAATATAAAATATAATGAGTTAAAGGACACCGCGTTTGAAGCACACTTAGCTCACTTTGCTCGTGACAGTTTTCAAAGGAAACTATTCCCGTGCTGCCATTCACCAAAGCAGCAACGTCACAGGGATTATAGCAACTAGTGTTGTGACATAACCCATGTTGAAGAACCCTAATCCCAACTACATCACATCACATGAGCAGTACACTGAGAAAGTTTGAGCAGTAGGCTATGTTTAATATATTAGACAGTATGATGACACTTACCACCTCATCAGAAGTGAAATCTATGAAACCGGGGAGGATCAAGAAGTCACTGAAAGAGGAGAGGTGACAGATGTGGAGATAAGATCATGAAGACTATGAAGTACTGCACAAACTAAATTAGAAATCACTTTTCAGTGGGGGTCACATCAGTCATTGCACTCGTCAGCGCGTCGATTTGATCTCAGCTCTCACTGATCGCTACATCATCACATGAGTTGTTAGCACTCATGGGTTGGATGCCACCTATCTTCAAACTCGGCGCTCATTTTGATCTCAGCTACTCACCTGTAAAGTTTTGTGTGTGCATCTTCCACTGTTGCGATGCTACCGTGCTGACAAACTCAACACCACCTTTTTAGTGCTTCCTGCTATTGCAGGTGTCGCCAGGACCGCTTTTTGCCATGAGGAAACACACAAAGACTTAACTGAAAAAACAAAACCAGCCTCACTGTGGCGACTGGTAACCAGCATTTAATATTAATAGTGACATTGAGCAGCAAAACACTTGTAAAGCTACCTCTTATAGTTGTGTATGTGAACTATATGTTTTGCAGTCACTCCTACACGGCAACATTTTATTTTATTTTATTAGCTGACAGTAAGCAGAAATAATCTGTCAGCAGCACACTGAAACGTTCTGCATTTATCCCGTGCACACTGATAAACCCTACACATAGCCCCATTAAGGAAACTACCCTGACAGCCATTAAAGCGCTGATATGTGCAGGACACACACACACACACACACTCTGACAGACACTGCTTTTAATGTCTGTACCACCACTCAAGACTCATCCTTGAAAGTAGTATTATGCGTAATAATCCCCCAAATAAAACCTGAGCAGATGTGTCATTGCTGATATTAATAAACATTTAATGGAAGATATGAGATAACAGTGTATATGTGTGTTTCTTTAGGTGCACGTGGGTCTGTGTCAGCATGTAAGCAATGTCATGAATGTGTTTGTGTGTGTGAGGGTTGTTTTTTTTCTTTTTAAATTTAGCATTTCTTACTTGTATGTAAGTCCGTCGCCGATGGCAAAAAGTTGTTGTGCTGTGAGTCCATCCTCAGGAACGTAACCCGTACCCCCGCTGATCAAGTAGTCAGCCATGCTGAAATTTAAAAAAACACACACACTCATCGTGGAGCTGAGAATATGAGTTAGCCACCACCACATCTAAATACTGAGCGAAATACTGGTGTATCCCAATGAAAAGACAACAACATTATAGACATATATATATAGCTTTAAATTTACAATAATTTGTTCTTGTTGCAGATTTTATACACTTAAGGGAATATTTTATTATTCTGTCCATCACTTTAGCTGATTGAAAAAAGTGCACCTAAATTAGAAGAAAGTGTATTTTTAGTAAAAATAAAGGTATGGTTGGTTAGTCAGCAGTTAAATTCTGAATCCATTTCAAAAAGCATGTGGCTCATCTGTCTCTGTTTCTTACAAACATACTGTAACTAGATCCTATTACAAATGTTGGAGAGAAGACAGGAAACGCAAACAAAACAGAATCCGTCCTTGTCAATGGAAACTCCTTCTATACACCTATGACGGCAGTACAGTAGGTAAGAGGATTTGGTAGGCTGCCCAGGTAGCTGATAAATGAGCTTGTAATGAGCACAACCAATGCAACTAGAAAGTGAAAACAGCTCAGTTGCTACTGGAAGTGTAATGTTTACAAGTTATACGGCTTCATATATCACATCTGCAGACCATAGAAGCTTGTGATGTCGCAGCGTGCGAAGATTGCTAATAGAGTGTGACACTGACCTCTCTGGTTCATACCCAGCTTGAATACGTGTAGCGCTGTATCGCTGGGCTGCTGTCTCATACCCGTGTCCATGTAGCACAGGGTGGGCATATCCCCCATACGGGTGAGGTTGCTCCCCATCTCTGTTTGAGGGCCGTGGCCGTGCTGGTTCCGTGTCTCCAACAATCCTTCGGTAGTCAATGAGGTAGCTGTCCCTTTCTCCATCTCCGAAGCGGTCATAAGCATGACCTTCCATCTCTATGAAATCCAGGGCTCTGACCTCCACGGTGCCCGACCACCTATCGCGCACTCTTTAAGCACTTGTGACTTGTTTCATACACACAAATACAATCACACCTTCACGCTGCAAGTAAACAGTGGCCTCAGCAAACCCCGGGAGACACACTCTAACGCAGTCAATGCCTTGAGTGCATGTTCACACAAACACCTTTCAGACACACCTGATATGGGAGTAAGCTATCGTGCCACTCGAGACTTGCAGATGACAAACCTGTAGGAAATAGAAGAAACAGCAACAAAAGATCCTAAACAAATTGTCCAAGGCTGAGTTTGCATTCCGGTTAGTTATCACTTATCCATGGAGGCCATTAAGGCCCTCAGACAGTGGATAGTCTTTTTTTGCCCACCTGTTGATGAAGGTTGCTATCGTGGCACAGCAAATTTAGATCTCCTGTATTCTCCCCAGCAAAAGGAACAAGCAGCCCCTGGGGAGGTGAGTCAAGCCTTGCTTAGGCAGCAGAGATTCATCCCCCTGGAGGTCCAGAACTTGCTTGGTTATCCCTACGGCTGGGAGCTTCTCTCTACTCTATTCTCCTGATGCCTGCTGAGCTTAACTCTGTTTCTGACAGCAGACGTCACTCTCCCACAAAGAGGATTGGGAGCATTAATGCAGAATGGGGTGGGGTGAGATGGGTGTTGGGTGGAGTGTAGGTAGTAGTACCGAGGAAGAGAACGATGGGTCAAGATGACACTTGAAAACACTTTCCTCACACGAGATTACCACGTTGTGACGGTCTGTGTTCGTGTGTGTGTGTAGACAGAGCTGTGAATGAGACAAGGTCGAACCCCAGAATACGTACAAACTTCCTGTCTTTGAGAAATGAGACAGAGAATAACTTTTAAAGACGTAATGCTGTCTAATTAGTTTGTCACACTTAAATTTAGGAGTGGCTTGTATACCGTGGCACTATTATTTATCATGGCAGTACAACAACAGAGTTCTATAAATACTTTCTTATATTATGAGGTTTTAATTAATAGAATTTACCAGATCAACATCTTTGAAATGTCTGTCCTGGCTGCTGTGGGAGCTTTTTAATCTTAAATCGTTAAACTGTTTGGACTATTCATTGAGAAACAGTAGGAACTTTGCTGCCTACAGTGCTTTCAGTAACATCATCTACAGGTGACTGACTGACTGACTGACTGCTTGTGACAGTTACAGAGGGATTGAACTAGAAAAGCCTCTTAGAATGTCTCTCTCTCTCTCTCTCTCTCTCTCTATCTATCTACTGTAAGTCTCTCATTATATCGCAGTTGCTCCCATTCTCCCACCAGATAAAAGAAAAAACAAACCCTCCAATTTATAATGAATGCAACAGAAATGTTGAAAAGCTAAGAAGCAAAACTTATTTTGCGCAGAAATTTTTATTAAGCCTCATATTCATGAGTTGTTCTTAAATTAGTATGGTTTAACAAAATGTCAATAAATGATATATGGACCAAAACATATACATATAAGATATTTCTATATTAACTATCCAAAGCCTGAACCATGAAATAACTCCCAGAGAATACTGGTTTTAAAAAAAAACAGGACTGTTTATTGACAAATTATAAAACAATAAGAAGAAATTGGCACATTTGATTTTAAATTGTGTCATATTTGTTAATTCTGACATTTTTTAGCAGTTTAATCTTTAGAAATTTTGGGTGCAGTCTATTTAGGTCTTTAGGGGGGAAAATCACACTAATGAGGTTTCAAAAACTCAAA